AAAATATGAGCTATTTTAAATACAGTTTTGACTGTGTTTACATGTATAATAATTAAGGGCAGATATATTGGGGAAAATGAACCAGGTTTATGACATAAGTGACACAGTTTTTTAAATCTGGACCTTTCAGAATGGAAGATATGTATAAGGAAATTCTAGCAGCTATAACAAACAAGCCTGCATTGTTATTGGATTAAAAAATTAAAAGTTTCTTTCTTATTGATAGCCCAGTTTAATATGGGTCAGCAGAATGGGGAATGCATCCTGTACAGTTATTCAGGGACCTTAGATTCTTCTAAACAACAGTTTTACCGTTTCCTAGGGGCTCAGCATCTTCCAACAGATCCCCTGGTTCTGCCCAACACATGAGGAAAGGGAAAGAGTGTCAAATATTGTAGCAGCATTGTTAAGGATCAAGCCTGGAGGGTAGTGTGTATCACTTGTGCCTACTTATTATTGACTAATACTCAGTCACTTTGTTGCACTCACATGCAAAAAGTGCTAGGTACTAACGCAGGCTAATTTTCTACCCTGGAGAGAGGAGAAAGAGTGTGCTAAATAAGTTACTTGTAGTTTTGAGGATTCTCAGCTCTAGATTATTTACCTCTCAATCACTAAGGTTGACTGAGAAGCTCTTAAAGTAGCCCTTAGATACGCATGGTTCATAATTTTGAGTCAAAAACTACCGTGTTCATATTAGTCTCTTTATATACATCTCCCCAATTCTTCCAAAATATGTGAAACAAACAATACTGTTATCAACTAACTGAAACAGGAGCTCAAAAAGATTAAGTGCCCTACATAAGCTTATTGCTTACTTAGCTAGTTAGTGGCATAGTTGATTTTTAAATCCAGCACTTCAAAGACCACGCTGTTTCTAATATATTACATTGCTATGATAAATAAGGCAATGAAAATCCCACATATTCCTCTGATGTGATATGCTGAAATGTGTCATCTATATTTTGCTTACAATTTACCTTTTAAAAGTCTTTGATTAGTCACAACCTAGGCATGATATTGACATTAGAAATCACTTAATTCCCAGTGTCTAAATTTTTTAATCTGCTAAATAAGCAG